CGTCACTGCGCACTTTAGGATTTCAGTACGTCTTAACTTGAATTGTATTCGCATTACTTTGTTTGTAAGGAAATTAAATTGTTTTGTTTTAAGAGAATATATGCTGGATCAGTTTAGTATTTTAACGCTGACGTGTTATAATATTATTTAATCTATTTTATAATCCCGCGAATTTTTTAATCATCTATCGTATACACTTAAAAAAAGACTGTTTTAGTGTTAATGAATGAGTAAAATGCAAATGTTAGGACAAATCAATAGTTTCAAGGTTGGTATAAACATCTAATTTAAGTTTAATATATAGGTTACATCTTTTGATGATGAAGTTCCTCTTAACATTTTTTGTATTGTTTCTAATGCATTATTGAAGAAGTAAAGTTGGACTCTGATATGTAAAGTAAACCATTCCCTTAAATAAATGTCTTTCTATTTAAATATTTAATGTTTTACCCTCTAGTGATATGACATGTATATGATTGGTCATTTCTTAAATTGAGACATCATAAGACGGACTGGGAGCGAATTTTGACACACGCAAATGTTTAACATAAGGTAAAGTTTGTAATTTTGAGGTCATTTGCCGATTATACTGTCGGCTATGTTTCATAGTGCGACTCGTATTTATACATCTATAAATACACTTAGCAACTTCATTTGTATATTAAAATGTATATTCTTTTTAAAAATGTAACTAATGTTATTTGAAGACAAAATCATAATTATGTTATTTGAGTTCAATATAACTATAACGATTGTAGAATGACAGTTTTGTTCAACACTAATTATTGTAGTGGTGCTCAATATCACTAATAATATTTGCGTTCAATATAGCCAAATATTTGTGTGTTCAATACTACAAATAATATTTGTGCGCATTATTTTTATGATATTGTTCTTACATAAATAGACTTTCGTTTATTAAAAATAAAATACCAGGAGTTCAATTTTTCGTAGTGACTGAACATGACGTCATATGATATTGCATGAAGCAAATACAAACTAACACTTACATTATTGTCCAAGTGTCAAAGTTAAAGGTTAATTATGTCATATTAATGATATCTTTTTTGTTGTCAAAAACGTTTTATTTTAGGTATTTTATTACAGATTCCGAAAAATACTCATCTCATTTCCAACACACATGAAATATCTTTTGCTTCTTTTGCTCTGTTGGCAATTAGTATAATTATAGTGAATTGGTATTATGTATTGAATCAGAATACTAATTTGTTTACATTTTGCTACCCTTACGACACATTCCTGAACAAGGAGCTCTACTTTCTTCTGTCATTAAATATAAAATATGATCTTAATCCATTATTACATCATTATTAAACATATGTTTTACATCTTTAAAGAATTAAAAAATATATTAATTTCTGAAGCATATTATGCCGTTGAAAAGCCTCCTGTTACATGTTCAATTTGCTATGAAACTATAAAAAAAATGCTTCAATACTGTTCAAACTTAGCACAATTATTTACTGGACCTTAGACTTTGTAACTGCATACGCAATCTTAAATTTCTTTTACCATGGCAACGAGGGGACATCTCAAAATTGCCAAAAATCACTATTTTGTGTTCATGTTTCCATCAAAACTGTTTTCAAAGTGCTGCAACTTCTCTATGGATTGAGACGGAGTCAAGAATCTTTTCAGCGTTGGTTACACGTTACTTTAGGGTCAACCTGAGGCCATTTTTTAGCCCCTCACAAGTCCTAAATTTTCTTGAAGATGAGAGTGCACAGACCCCCATCAAACCCCCAAATAGAAGGGAGGGGGCACATCCCCTCTCTGGTACCTCCTTGATGTATCTATTTGATAGGGAATGGCGCCGAAAAAGTGTTCACTTTTTTAAACGCCATTTCTTAAACGAAAATGGTGTCTGGGGTCTAAATAGGGCATTGTTTCACTATTTGAGGCCTCAAAAGGTATGTAAGAATACTAAAACTAATCAGATAAGACTTTGGTCTTTTTGCTGTAAAAACAATGATATAAGTTACATGTGTTGAAAGAAAGACATAAAAAACATTGATAAATAATCGTTATTAGTATTTCCTATAAAGACATTTTAATCCGCGTTAAAACACTTTTTTCCATTTAACTGCAATGGGAATTTTTTCGAATTTATACATGTTAACCGCCGAGAAATTTCGATTGAATGTTAAAGTATACATAGCTGCTCACCGACAAGTAAAAATATTTGAATTTTATGAATTTTTTTTAGAATAACTCATTTAAGCATGGTACCTTTAATCAAATTATTGAAAGAATTTAACAAAGACACAAGGCATTTGGTGTATAGCGCAAATCTTTTTATCACTAGTGCCCTAGTAACTAGTTATGTAAATAAAAGCTATTCGCGTCCGTGCCGAAGCGCGGCGCCTCTTATGGAATGAAATCAGATTTTGTGAAAGGGCAATTGCAACTTCTCGGGCCTTTTAGTCGGTCATAATAGCCGAACATTCCGATTGGAGGGTGTTTAATTAAATGAAATATCACGATAGTACAATGAATAGCGAACTGGAGAATTCTGCAATGCAAACATTTTGAAATGAAATAATTGTTAATTAATCGCGCTCTATGGTTTTTTTTATTAATCATTTTGTAGTACATGGTATGTTATTGTTGTACATGTATCCGAAAGCTGTAAATAGAGTGATGACCAAGTCCGAAAATCTATTTATAGAGGGATGTACTATTCGTCGGTCTGTATCGGTAATTGCCGGTCTCATCCGGTCTATATTGACCGGCATTTACTAAAGACTGGCGAATAGCATCACACGTTTTTTGTCCGGTCTCTCCCGGTTTTGGAGTAGATGTTAATTGACATCGTTACAGATAAATAAGTTTTTTTTCCAAAATGAATGGTTGTCACTTATTTTGGTTACAATAATTAATAAACACAGATCAGCTCTCAAATTTATTGTTTATTATTTTACATAAACATACAATTGGAAAAAAAACAACAACAATAGCATGTTTCATTTTATTTATAAGAGATAAAAACAATAAATATGTACAATAATTGAGTAAAAAGGTACATTTTTATTGTATTAATATGACACCATCAACTTTGAAACATTTTATTTAATTTGTTATTCTTGTTTAGTAAAGATGCTTAGGAATTATTCTAAGTTACAAATTAGATTTTGTGAATTATTCAATTGATTGATAGTTAAAAACTGATAAAGAAAAATACAAATGTATATGTACATGGTTTAAGAATAAACAATATAATATATTGAAAGATTAACCTTAATTTACTGACTTTTTTCAGTTAATTTTTTGCTTATAATCGTTGGTCAATGTGACAATTGAATTCTTAAAATTTATTTTACAATTTTAATCAAAAAAGTAGAAATCGTAAAAACTCAGTATTAAAATAGTACATAAAAAACAAAAAGAAAAAAAGAAAAAGAAAACAATATTCATAAAATATGTAAAAAAATATTAAAATAGATATTACAATTATTGTATAATAAAAAAATTATGCTCAACATGTATAACCAGTGTTATATTTTACGTAGTTTGAACAGATACCTTAAGAGGGGGTCTTAGCTAATAGCGATAACATAATAAGCGACAATACACAAGTGTGGTGTTGATCATGCGTTACACAAATGGATTATAAATGATTGTATATATCCGTTGCTATTAATAATCACGATACTACATTTATGACCATAAAAAATAACAAAAATAACATAATATTATATATGTATTTTATTATTTCCAAAATGAAAAAGATCTATTAATTTTGACTACCATTTTGAATGTTCCAAAGAAAATACCACATGAACTTGAAATTCTATCAAATCACAAATATTAATGATAATGTCCAAAAATACCCCCTATATAGTATAAATAAACTTATACCATATGGGGAGTATATTTTGAATATCATTGACCCGTATAGTTTGGATATCATCGTTAATATTGATAAATTTCAAGTTCCATAATTAATATTCTAATCTCTAGCATGCCCACCAAAGTTCATAATGAACAATGTTTTTCGTCCGCTCATTCATAAGTGATATACAATTCTGGTAAAAACCAATCAACCATTGAAAAGTGTATAAGAATATCTTGTCATCATATGTCTACTAGTTCATCTTCACTTTATGCATTTCTTGCTTGGACGCCCTTTGATGCTTTGCATCAATGCTTTTCTTGTAGTATATGAAACGTTTGTTACGAGGATATAACACTGGCTGGGGTTACATCGAAGGTATGTTTCTGCTAAAAAATGTCGATACCGTAAGACCGAGACGATTTTTTTGCAGACACATCCCGAGATCTCGTCCCAGTCAGTGTTTGTTATATCCCCGTAACTAACGAGTTAATATAGTATGACTGTTTTGTCGCACTGTCATAACTTTGTTTGTACAAGAAAAAGAATAAAACAAGACATACAAACCTTAAGTTGTAAACTTTAACCTTGTTGAGAATGTAATGTTGATTGAAGATTTAAGGGTGTTTTTCAGTGGAATTAATTCATTTAGCGGATTTTCATTTTGATTTTAGCAGTTGCATATATGATGATAAATTTCATTTCATTAATTATCTGTGTTTATATTACTTATATTATTTATTTATTTTCTGCTCATTATTATTTTTTTTATTTATTTATTAACAATTTTTGTGCTACTGGGAATGTTCGTTGACCCATCCCCATTAGAGCCTCTGTGAAAAAACTACGCTGATATATACAAGGTGCAAAACAATCTCAACTGCTATATAGCATTTGAGTTTTTTTTTCCTATGTGAATCAATGAAAAAACTGCACTGTTATATATCAAAACAGTTTTTAAATCCTCATTGAAGTATAATTGGTTAGTAAGAACAAAAAAAGTTCCAAACCATTTAGGGTGGGGGGCTTTGGGCTTCAGCGGTCTTCTTCTAATGTTTTCAGTTTAAATTATGATACTAAAAGTCAAAACAAAGCAAAAGAAGCCAAATAATAATTTATCTTTATTCTTAAAGCATATCCATAGCATATTAATAATGTTGTTTATGATATCTTTGATACAAAATGATTAAGAATAACAAATAGAATAAGTAAAATGAAGAAATAAATAATGACGACTCATGGCAAGATTTTTAGCTGATCATATCTTTCTTAAGATTTGTGACAATAAAACGGAGTATAAAACTGACTTTGTCACAACGTCTTTGTGATGATAGACATTTCTGTGAATAGAATGCCCAGTATGGGGAGGAAGTGTTCCAAATAAAGATATTCCATGTGGCATAAGCGCTGGATACACCATTCTATTAGCAGGAGCGATGTTAGAATAAGCAGGCATCCTAAAAGGCTGAACCGGGTTAATGTAGCTGGAAACTGGAACGGTGTTCGGATAAACATACGGGCTAGATGACTGTTTGCTGACAGAAGGTGATGAAAGCAAATTTGAGAAAAATCCAAGACCTGAAATCATAAAAATATAAATACATTTGATCTGGCTCTTAAACAGAACTATTTCTTATAGTTTGTCACTTTAATCCTATACATGCAATAAAATGGACATAACATCGAAAATTCGCTTATTTACAATACAAAAAATATAATTATGTTGTGATATGTATCAAACATATCAGAACTTGTTGAACACCTTATTAAAGAAATAACATGATAATTTTGAAATATGTTTTTTCTGTTTACGTTAAGATTATTAAACCTAAAAGAAATGAATAAAGGCCTCGAAACTAGTATATCCTACATAACAGAGTTAAGCAATAAATTTAAACTTTAAATCTATATCTACTCACCATTACTGTTGCTATTGTAACCATTGACAACTGAAAAACACAGAACCAGTACAACTGATGCACACGTACTTTTCATCAGTCCCATGGTAGCTTTACACCTTTAATTTAACTGACAAATTAACAAACAGAATAGGAATATAAATGCCATCGAAAGGATTTTGTTTGCTTTTATATTTCATTATTTTAAGGGATGGAGTTAGGTTATGTCATTTTTCTTCCTTGTCTATATAATAGAAAGTAATTTGTCACTAAAACACTTCCTTACATAAAGATATGAGTCAGTCAAAAGTGTTCACCCTCTTGTTAAAGATGAACATTTGATTGGTCATATATTAACTGACACATCAAAAGTGTCATAACCTAAAGGGACTGGTTGTATCTTAGTTTAATTTTTAAATGATGTATGTACGTAAAGGCGGGACTTAAAGGTTGACATGAACCACCGAGGGCAATGTTGTTTATGAGCATAGCATGTAATAATTCATTACTGATTTTTTAAATGCAGTCAAATTGCATTATATCATATTGTTCACTAAATGTAACGTTTGATAAGTATATTGAAAAAAGTAGGTAAAATTAAAACTTTAATGAAAATACGGCAAGATCGTCTTAAAGTTTTATATTTTGTAAAAAGTTTTGTAAACAGGTTGCGAATACCATTCATTTAAGGGAAGTTCATAACCAGTGACACGAAAATTGACTGTCCAGGTCAATGTACGGTGAGAAAATAAAAGTATTTGAAGTTTAGAAAAATATCTGTTTTAGAAGTATTTTACTGGCAAAATTATTTCAAATTTCTATATACCGGACATCGAAAATATCTTTGACTGTAAACAACGTTTAGATAGGTCCTAAACATTCATTGAAGATTGCTTGGTCACAAAGTGCTCATGAATAAAACTAATCGTTCGACGTTCGTGTTAGTCATGAAAATGTTTTCAATGGCATCTTCTCTTTAACCATTTGGCTAAATAAGATAAAATTTGCATGCATATTACGTAGTCTTATATTAAAAAAAAAACATTTTAATTTTCACGGAAACTATATAACTTAATATATATACTTTGTATCTTACAGCAAAGAATTCTTTAAATCATGTGACTCTGTGAGTTGTGTAACTTTCAATATTACTTACAGTAAATACTGCTATATTGTATGATTATTGGATTTCCGTGCTTTTCGTTTCTTTTTTGTCCATATTTGAATAAAAATGTCTCAGGAATGTGAACCAACTTTTTTGCTGTTGTCAACTTCATTTATGCTATTAGATACATATCCAGTTTAAATTAGCACACCTTTAAAAAAAACACGATAAACAAGATCAACAAGGTAAGGCGGCGTTCAATGAACTAAATATTATGAAAATTTCGGAAATGTATTTAATAGTAAAATTTTAAGAAGTGAACAGAAAAAGTAATTTACACATTGTACTCGGCATCTACTACCAACACATAAATTACCAAAAAGATATCAAGCAAATAGCCCTTACTGCGTTAGCCACACAGTAGAAATAAGTTGAAGAATACTACAAAATTAGTCATCAATCGCACATAACATGTAAATTATCACTTGAATCTTAAATCAGTTTACTTTTCTTTAAATCCAAGTACATCCCCCACCCCCAAAGTTTCATTTTCTTGAAATATTTTGGCTCATCTGGAAGAATGCACTTTTACATTTTGGCGATTAAGCTTGATTCTTATTTGTAATATAATGTCTGAAAATTTAACGGATAGTACTTAGAATGGCAACTCATATTGAAGCATGTTTGGGTTTTTTTATTTATTTTATTTATTTATTTATTTATTTATTTTTGTAAATAAATGCCTAATTTTTTTAACTGCATTCATACGTATATAATCTTAATACTTTTTACAAACAAAGCCACAGCAGCAAGAGGTATGTAAAGAACAATAATAATAAAATTATCAGAGGTATAATTAATTAATGTTTGAATGATTGTTTCAAAAACAAATTATTCAATCATTGTCATAGTTATATCTTCAGGGTGATTGAAATCATGATCACATAATTGTCATTATTATCCCGAGTTCTCTTTCATTTCATGATTTTCATTAGAATCGTTAATTAAAAGTGTCAATAAGATAATCACCACTCCAATGTCTGATGAAATATTGCTTTAATAGTAGTTTTATAGAATACCAAACCATTCAAAAAGTTTCTAAACGTTATTTATAGAGGATATTTGTTTGTTTTAAGAGGATGTTTGTTTGTTTTTGTGTAAGAGGAAATTTCATTTCATCGAGTGGGCTTTAAATACAGCATTCTCACGAGTGGCATAGCCACGCGTGAGATTACGGTTTTGAAAGTTCACGAGACGAAATGAAATTACATCTAACACGACGAACAAACATATTTTCTATTTATTTTATGCTTTTATACCATTTAAAGTGAAATTTCCTCAATATTAACTGAAATATCAAAATCTGTTTCCCCACTGGTAGCCTCAATTTCAGACGACTTTTTCATAAAAACAAAAAGTATTGAGCTAAAGAAATAAAATCAACATTTTAGTATCTATTTTATTTAATATAATATGAATCATCGCTTGATGTAATAATTAAAACAAACAGATCTATTAGAAGAAAAAGTCACATCATCCGACCTTTTTCCGTTATTTTCGGCGGAAAGTTATATTAGACCAAGCTTTGTTTATATAAGCGACCGCCATTTTTAAAAGTTTTGTACTTCACGGGAAAAAATGTGTTTGATTCAGAGGGTGTTCATTTTGATTTGTTAGTTTTACATCTATTTATAAGAAAGAAAAAATATTTGAGGATTGTAACAGACAATAAAAAATTGTTGACATATGTGTTAGCATACAAAAAGCGACTAGAAATTGGAAAACATGGAATTGTTGAAGGGCTGTATTACGAACGCTGGTTGTTTACTTATTCTTTGGGCTGGTGAATTTCATTGCTTTTCATATTGCATTAGGCAGTTATTGCTCGTAGGATACTTAAATATGCCCAAATGTCACCAAGAACAGTTTAAAAAAGAAGTGTATTTTTAGACTTAAAAGATGAAACAGATTAAAGAATTGAGACAACATTTAGTGATTGGTAATTGGAATGACTTGAAGTAGGTTGTTTTACCTTTTAATAACGTTTGAAATGTAAGTTATATATCATTCCAACTTTTCTAAACATCTTAAAAATGTCAGAATTGTAAGTATGAATAAAAGTGAGGTACCACATTTACTACTTTAAAAAGTAGTCCTTTCATTGAAAATTCTGAAATTATATTTTGAAAACACAAATATAATTTTCACTGATAAATTAGTAATCCACTCAAAAGCATAAAACAAATATTCCTATTCATTGTCAATAACCAAAGAAGATTTAAAAGAAATGATTCATATCAAGCTGTCTAACAGACATAGAGTCTATTTATATGTATCTATACAATAATATGTTATTGCAAGCATGGCTTGTCTGTCAAATAGCATCCTTTAAAATGAACGTTCTTGCAACAAAAGCGTCTATTTATATTGCAATAGTGTTCTTGTCTTTGGTGTAAGTTTGAAATTGGAAGTCAAAGTTATGTTACAAAGATTAACATCGCTTATACAAAATGGACTATTATTGAAATGTCATTTAATTTATTATTAACGGGAATTCTTACTACTAAGTAATTTTCCAGCGGCAATGTTCGAAAGCAGACGGTACTTTACTTATTGCTAAAATATCTATGGGGCCTAAGATGAAGCAATTTCTTTATAAATGAACAAAGCCATATGTAGAAGATACTTTTAAATGTAAAACAACAGTAGCATTTCTAAGCTACTAAAATGAAAGAACCAAAGATCATCATTCACATATCTTTCCATAGCAGATATAGCCCAGTCTTGAACGGCACAATACAAAACTTCTAATACAAATGGTTATATTTTCCAGGAGAAAACGTAACTGATTTATAAATAGTCAATTATGAATAAATAACAGAACACAAAGTGGTTTGAATAATGCCGTGACTTTATTGTTTATTGGGCATTTTGGTTAAAACAATTATCATCGTAAAAAATTTGAAATGAAATTAATATTGTAATGAGAAAAATATGAAAGACCAAATGGACGGATAGCTACAGGGCAACGCAAATTACTGACTTCGGTAACACATCTGGTGGTGTTTGTGAACTCTTTTTTAGACATGTGTATACATGTGTAACAAGTGTTGAAATGAAGAATTATAAAACGTTGATAAATAATGTTTTTAAGTATTTCCTACGATGACATTTTTATTTGCGTAAAAGCACTTTTTTCCATTTAATTGCAATGGGAATTGTTAGGATATATACATGTTAACCGCCGAGAAGTTCCGATTGAATGTTAAAGTATAGATAACTGCTCATCGACAAATAAAAATATTTGAATTTTAATAAAAAAATATTTTTTGGATTACTGATTCAAGCACGTGACCTTTAAACAAATCATGGAAGAATTTATCAAAGAAACTTGGCATTTGGTATATTTTTAATTATATTTCGCAACTCTTTTTATTATTAGTGCCATAGTAGCTAGGTATATAAGAAATTCATATTTTACAGGGTTTTTTTTTTTGGGGGGGGGGTTTTAGACCTCAGTGGAGTTCTTTTAATCTTTTCATTTTAAATTATGATACAAACAGTCATAACGAAAACAAAAGAACACAACAAATAATAATTTAGCTTTATTTTTAAAGCATAACCATAGCATCATAATATTGGCATGTATGAAATCCTTGATACAAAATGATTATAAATAAATTTAAATTAGCAAAATGAAGCAATCAATAGTGAGAAAACAAGGCAGGTTTTTAAAGCTGATCATATCTTTCTTAAGATTTGTGACAATAAAACGGAGTATAAAACTGACTTTGTCACAACATCTTTGTGATTATAGACATTTCTGTGAATAGAATGCCCAGTATGGGAAGGAAGTGTTCCAAATAAAGATATTCCATGTGGCATAAGTGCTGGATACACTATGTTATGAGCAGACGCGATGTTAGAATAAGCAGGCACCCTTAGTGGCTGAACCGGATTGATGTAGCTGGAAACTGGAACGGTGTTCGGATAAACATACGGGCTAAATGACTGTTTGTTGACAGAAGGTGATGAAAGGAAATTTGGGAAATATCCAAGATCTGAAATCATGAAAATATGAATGCATTTGATCTGGTTCTTAAACAAAAATATTTCTTATAGTGCGTCACTTATATCATACACATGTAGTAGCGAAGAAAATTTGCTTTACAATACAAAAATATAATTATGTTGTGATATTTTTCAAAAATATTAGATCTTGTTGAACACCTTATCATAGAAATAACAGGATAATTTAAAAAATATTTTTGTTTCCATTACGTTAAGATTACTAAATTAAAAATTGAACAAAGGCCGCCATGAAACCAGTATATGATTACATAACGGTGTTAGCCAATGAAATGAAAAAAGCACATAAAAGCAATAAAACAAACACCCATACTTACCATTACTGTTGCCATTGTAACCATTGACAACTGAAATACACAGAACCAGTACAACTGATGCGCGCACACTTTTCAACAGTACCATGTTAGCTTTACAACTTTTATTTAACAGACAAAGTAGCAAAATAGAGTGTGATTATAAATGCCATCGAAAGGATTTTGTTTGCTTTTATATTTCAATATTTTAAGGGATGGAGTAAGGTTATATCATTTTCTTCTCTGTCTTCATAATAGAAAATAATTTGTCACTAAAGCTTTTCCTGCAAAAAAGACATGAGCCAATCAGAAGTGTTCACCGTTGAAAATTTGACTGGTCATATCTTAACTGACAAATCAAAAATGTTATAACCTAGAGGGACTGTTCTTTTTAACTATGTATGTAAAGGCTGGATTTAAAAGTTGACGTAAATGACCGAGGGCCATTTTGTTTATGAGTATAACATGTAATATTTCATAGGTGATCAAACTTTATCAAATGCAGTAAACTTTGCATAACATATTATTGACTAAATGTTACGTTTGATTTATATATTGAAAAAGTAGGTAAAATTAAAACTTAAAAGAAATACAGCTAGATCGTCTTCCAGTTGTATATTTTATAAACGTTTTTTAAGAGTTTGCAAACAACATTCATTTAAGGGAATTAAAGTACATTACCAGTAACACGAAAATTAATTGTCCAGGTCAATATAGCTATGTACGGTTATAAAAAGTAATAGACGTTGAGAAAAAAATGTTTAAGAAGTATTTTACTTGCATATTAGTTTAAATTTCTATATACCGGACATTGAAATATCTTTGACTGTAAAATACATTTGCTATAGATAGGTTCTAAACATTTATTGAAGATTGCCTTGTCGCAAAGTTCTCATGAATAAAACTAATCGTTCGACGATTGTGTTAGTCATAAAAATGTTTTAAAATGGCATCTTCTCTGTAACAATTTGCCATATAATATAAAATTTACCGGCATTTTACATAGTCTTATATTGGAAAACATTTCAAACTTCACCAAAACTATATGACTTAAGGATTTTGAGTGTAATATTTATATTGGACTACAACAAAGTATTTTTAAATCATGACTTTGTGAGTTTCACTACCTTCAATATTACTTACAATATAGACTGCTATGTTGTATGATTATAGGATCAATGCTTTGTGTAAAGGGTTATGTTTTTCCTTTGGTCCAAATTTGTATAATAATTGTGTCAGAAACGTTTTTTTGTTGTTGTCAACTTGATTTATGCCCCCAGATACGTGCTATTTTTTATGAAAGTAATTTACAAATTGCAGCCAAAATTTACTATCGACATAAATAATCAAAAAGAGGTCAAGCTATGCAAAAATAGTCTTTACTGCGTAGTCAAGCAATAGAAATATGATTGTTATACTGCAAAATTAGCTATTAATTGCAAATAACATGTAATGGGTCACTTGAATTTTAAATCAGCTTCGTTTTCTAAAAATCCTAGTACATTTTTCTCAAGTTTGGTTTTCTTGAATTATTTTGGATAATCTGGAAGCATGCACTTTTACGTTTTGGTGATTCAGATTGATTTTTATTTATAAAAAATATTGTCCCAAATATCTAAGTGATATTACTTATAATTACAACTTATATTGAGTCATATTTTGTAAATAGATGCCTACTTTTCAATTTCATACATTATATATAATCTTTATAATTTTTATCAAAACAAAACCACACGTTTCAAGTTTATTTGATTATCTCATACCAATACATAAACACGAGAATTAAATATAAAACCATGTCTACAGAGGACAACATTCATTCAAAAAAATAAATTATGAATATTGCAAGAGATATAGAAAGAACAATTATAATGACATTATCAGAGGACTAAAGGTGTGAATGATTATTTCAAAATAATCATATTCAATCATTGTCATAGTTATATCTTCAGGGTGATTGAAATCATGATCACATGATTGTCATTATTATCCCGAGTTCTCTTTTATTTCACGATTTGCATTAGAGTGTCAATAGGAAAATCACCACACCAATGACTAATGAAATATAGTCTTAATAACAGTTTTATAGAATACCAAACCATTCATACAATATCTAGACTTTACATATTTTCTAATCATTGTCAATATCTAAAAGGGTAATAAAAAAGAACCACGTCAAGCTGCCTAACAGACATAGAATCAACGTATATGTATCTATATAAATACATGACATGTTATTGCACAAGTATAATATGCATGACTTGTCTATCCAATAACATCCTTTAAAATGAACGTTCTTGCAACGAAAGCGTCTATTTATATAGCAATATTGTTATTGTCTTCCATGTAAGTTTGAAATTAAAAACAGACATTAAATCCAAAAGTTTGGCAGTGTGTCTCTATGTCTAGATTAATTACGAAAGTCAGTAGCCACAAGTCAAAGTTATGTTACAAAGATTTACGTTCGCTTATACAAATAGACTATTATTGAAATGTCATTTAAATTAAACAATACACTTTAAAAAAGGAAACATGAAGAAAATCTAGAGTATATAATTCTTTATTACTTATACATGTATATAAATATACAATAAACAAGTCTTCGATATAATAGAAAGAAAATCTAGTCTGCTAAGTTTCAAAGAGCTCTTGGCATATTTAATAAATTGTATGTATAAAAATTATTTTAGTAAGCCAGTGAATAAACTGTTTACACATGTAAATGATATGAAAACTTTTACAAAAAAAAACAACAAAAAAACAAAAACAACAACAACAAAAAACCGACAGGACAAGTTGTTTTTTCCTAATAGTTGAGACCTTATCAAAATGCACCGTATAATAAATCCAGAGGGCCCTTATCCCCATATAACACAGGGGTTAGCCCAAACCGTCTTTCTGTTGGGGTGCCATACGCCTATACTGTGTTAGTTTTCCCCTAAACCCAAACCAACAAAACCAATACATGCCCTTCTTCTCCATCGGCTGTTGCCATTTCCTTGTCCGGTGCCCCCACTGGTGGCTATCTGTTGGTCCTGTAGATAGAAATTGTCTTTTTATGGTGGTTAGGGTCCCTGGTTAACTTGCAACATGTATTAATTACATGCACTGTGGGGTGAAAAATGGTTTTTAAATTTGTAATTTTTCGTTTTTACTTTTTCACAAGTAATAAATGCCAGTTCGGCTGCTTTAAAGGACAAGGGAAGGATATGATTAATGCAGTGGGCAAACACAATGGTCACAAAAACAACATGATTTAAATTTGCAAAAATCTATCTGATTGTTTGATATAGATTTTAAAAAAGTAAAGCTATTACAAATGGATTATTAATATGTTTGTATTTCGCTGAAGAGAAAATTTCATAAAGTTTATGTATTTATTATTTAAGGAACGGTCTTCGGAAAATTGGGTACATTGTATGTTTGGGTTTGGGTTTTTTATCTTATTTTTTTTTTTTCTTCGCAAAATTCCTTGAAAAGTTTTTCTGAGAAACAAAAAAACACCACAACAGTTAATATTTCTCATAATTAAAGTAGTATAGATTTCTTAAGGAACATATACAGTTGTATATAAATAACTATAACGAAAGAATAACGCTTTTTTTAGTGACTAGAGTATGATTCCATGTTGTGGGCAAATAGAGATAATGTTTTTAAAAGACAAAATTTTAAATGATACACTTTTCAAATCTTTACAATGTTTATCATTATGTACTTTTTTTTCTTCCCCTCACACGATAACGTTTAGAAATTCAAATCTTTATAATAGTCATATAAGAGGTATGGTTAAAAGATACCCGGAATGTGTTCATAAGTCTTTAATAAGTTCATAATCCCGGAAGGTGCTCATAAGTCCGGAGTGTGTTCATTAGTCTGAAATTGTTTTATGCTTGAAATAAAAAATCAATGTACAACCAATTTAACCGCATATTAAATATTACTTGTCTACGTCGTCCCCGACATGAACACTAGTCACTAGTTTGATTTTAAAAACACAGTGTTGGTCATTTATCTCCACAGATAATTACACATAGAAATAATTTGTTGAGCCGAAGTAGGTTAGTGGACACCTAAACGTTCTGTATCATGTTACACTCATCAAGTAGGAAGCACTGATACGGTTGTAAGTACCAAACCCGAAGGTCTCAAGTCGTTACTGAGTACTTTAGGATTTCAGTACACCTTAAATTGAGTTGTAGTATTTACATTACTATAAGATGTAAGATATGCATGTGCTGATCATTATTTATTTAATTGTTATATTTTTTGTGTTTTTTATAAGACAATACTGGTATATGCAGGATCAATTAAGTGTTTAAACGCTGAGGTATTATAATATTATTTAATCTATAGTATATTTCCGGGAATATCGTATAAACTTTAAGAAAGACAATTTTAATGTTTAATGAATGAGTAAAATGCAAATGTTATGGCAAATCAATAGTATACAAGGTACATCCAATTTAATTTTAATTCATAGGTTACATCTTTTGATGGGTTACATCTTTTGATGATGAAGTTCCTCTTAACAGTTTTTGTATTGTTTCTAATGCCTTATTGAAGAAGTAATGTTGGACTTTCTATATTTAAAAGAAGACTCTGATATGTAAAATAAACCAGTCCCTTCAATAAATTTCTTTCTATTTAAATATTTAATGTTTGATTGACCATGTATATTGATTGGCATTTCTTAATTTTTAAAGGACACAAAACGGACTGGGGAGCCGGTTTTTTTTGACACCACGCAAAATGTTAAACGTCAGGTTAAAGGTGATAATTTAATTTTGAAATTTAATTTTTTGAGGTCATTTGCCGATGGCAACTTCGGCCTATATTTAAACTTCATGCGCTCATTATTCAATAAATCTATAAATATTTACTAAGACTTCTTTGTATATGAAAATTTTATTTCGTTATTAAAAGGTCAATAAAGAAAATTTAAGTTTGCTCTGGTACGTCACATTTGAAAACATTTAGAAATGCTGTCCAGATTTGTTGTACAAAAATACTTAAATGATAAATAAGAAAGTTTCACGTCTAATTTTATGTTTTAATATTTAGTACAAATATTTTTAAAACAATAATATAAATATAAAAATATATTTACAATTTTTTAATTGTGAAAAAAAATATAAAAATTATGTTTTTTATGTGTTGTGTTATTTTCTATTATGTTTT